GGCTTGGGATGCCAGAGGACCCTGGTTCGGATCCCACATATGAGGGCCAGTGACACTGCCCTCCACAGCTAAGATGCTGAACAATAGCTCAACCTGGAGCTGGGCTGCCATGAGTCGCCGGCGATGGCTAAGGCTGCAGCCCCTGCTGCAGTGGGTTGCCATGGGCTACCGTGTGTAGCCAGCAGCCAGTGTGAGTGGCCCTCAAGCCGTTGTGAGCGGTTGTCCAGAAGCCGGCGACTGATCTGCCTCGCCAGGGAAGAGTGCAGTGATGGTGCCAATTTGGGCCAGTGAAGCAACGTCCTTCTCAACTAGACTGAAGAACAAAAAGACAGCAATGTCTGCTCCCTTTCCCCAATTCCCCAATTAAAAAAAAAAAATGAGCGAAGGACTTGGATAGATGTTTCTCCAAAGAAGATACATAAACGGTAAGTAAGTATAGGAAAGATGTTCAACATCCCTAATCATTAGGAAATGCAAATCAAAACCACAGTGAGATACCACTTCTCAATTATTAGGGTGACTACTACAAAAAAAAAACATAAAATAACAAGTATTAGTGAGAATAAGGAGAAGCTGGAATCCTTGTGCACTTTTGATGAGAATGTAAAATGGTACAGCTGCTGTGGAAAACAGTATGGCTGTTCCTCAAAAAAATCAAAACTAGATTTACCATATGATCTAGAAATTTTACTTCTAGGAATATACCCAAAAGAACTGAAAGTAGGGTCTGGAAGAGAAATGTGTACATCCATGTTCATACTAGTTGAAGCATATTCACAGGAGCCAAAGCATAGAAGCAACCCAAGTGTCCATCAACAGACGAATGGATAAGTAAAATGTTGTGTGTGTGTGTGTGTGTGTGTGTGTGTGTGTGTGTGTGTGTGTGTATATAATGTAATATTATTAATCTTTAAAAAAGAAGGAGATTCTGACACATGCTACAACATGGATGAACTTTGAGGACATTATGGTAAATGAAATAAGCCAGTCAAGAAAAGACAAATACTGTATGGTTTTACTTCTATGAGGTAACTAGAGTAGCTGAAATCATAAAAATAGTAGAATGGTGATTTCCAGGGCTGAGGGTAGAAAAGAATGGGAGTTATTATTTATTGGGTATAGAGTTTCAGTTTTGTAAGATGAAAAGAGGTATGTGTGTGAGAGAGAGAGAGTGTATGTATGTGTAAGTGTAATGCATTATCCAAATGTCTCACACTTAGATGATAGGCTAACTTTTCCTATTTACCGCAGCCACTTTTCAGGAAAACACATACTTCCATGGAACACTGGTCTAGGACTCTACAGTTCGATCAGCCCCCAGGAAGGGGGTTTCATCATGCTTTTATGGGAACGCAGCTAGATGTGAAAAAGAGGAGAAAATGCATGAAGTGATTCTAAAAGTGGCACTAGACTTTGTTGGGTCACGTGGTAGAACAAGAAAACTCAGGATGTACCTTTCTAAAACTAGGAGCACAAATCAAAGGCTATGTTAACTTTTTCTCTTAAGTCCATTTAGGTTTTAAATGTGTGTTCTCTCCCCAGCATTTCTAGACTTGCATCCTGACCCATTCCTCTTCTTTTCCCATATCGACCCCCACCTCTCCACTTCTCCACCTGCACAAGGTCTCCTTCCATGGTAGGTAGAGTAAAGGTCCCCAAATAGGTCCATGTCCATGAATGTCCATGAATATGCTATGTTGCATGGCAAAGGGGAATTAAGGTTGCTGATGGAATTAAAGTAGTTAATCAGCTGACCTAAAGATAAAGAGATTATTCTGGATTGTCTGGATGGACCCAATGTAGTTGTAAGGGTCCTTAGAAGTGGAAAAAGGGGGCAGAGGAGAGTCAAGGGGAGATATGACTACAGAAGAGGTCAGAGTGATATGATGTGAGAAGGATGCAACTCACCTTTGCTGCTGTTGAAGATGAGGGAAAAGACCAAGAGCCAAGGAATGCTGGCAGTCCCTAGAAGCTAGAAAAAGAAGGAAAACAGATTCTCCCTTAGAACATCCAGAAGGAACACAGCCTCGCCGACACCTGCAATTTAGCCCGTGAGACCTATTTCAGACTCCTGACCTCCAAAACTGTAGAATAATACATTTCTATTCTTTATGCTACTAAATTTATAGTAATGTGTAACAGCAGCTGAGGATTTGGTTATTCCATGATAGTCTGTATTCTTGTGTGATAAATTCTAGTTTGGAAGAAACATTAGCTTCACAGAACAATGCCCAGGGCTTGTAGACCATGGCAGCTTCCAACTTTGGATGAATGGAAGAGATAGGCTACCCTAATGGATAAGTTAATATTCCATCTTGGCCCTGTAAAGTTTTGTGAGGCTGTTAGAAGTTTGATTTGGGCGCATATAATTTCCCTGTAGGGCTGAGATGATTGGGTCCCTAACCATGCTGATGAAATTGTAGTTGTTAAAGCCTCCTATTTTCTTTTTGTTTTTGTTTTCACATGTTACCTCAATCTTCAAGCATATAAAAGTAGAGTTCAGAGATCTTTGTGGCTTTAAAATCCCTTCAGTCTTCCTTCACATTTTATTGTTTCGAAACCCTTTGAAAATTAGTTGAGGGAACAGTTCATTGATCTTCCAATTTTATACTGTAAATGTTGTTGGAGTGACTTATTTTGCAATATTTTTTGGGAGGGGGGGAATTAGAGGAAGGCAACAGTGTTGGGGGATTGGGGAGGGCGACCAGCCAGCTTGTTGTTCTTCAATCTTAGTTGTGGAGGGTGCCAGTTGCCATCTGGCTGCCCGTCAGCAGCTCGTGGCCTCTAAACTCAAGGTGCTGTGTTACAATCTTAGCTGCAAGTGGGCGTAGCCACCATCCCATGCAGGAGTCGAACCAGCAACCTTGTTGTTAAGAGTGCACGCTGTATCCACTGAGCCATCCAGGCAGCAGCTCAGCTCAAGGTGAAGAGTTCAGTCTTAGTCGTGGACGGGCGTAGCCCACCATCAAACAGGCAGTCTTGTTGTTAGGAGCATGTGCTCTCACCAGCTGAGCCATCCTGCCACCTGTTGGCAGCTCAGCGGCAGCTCAGCTTGGGCGCAGCATCACTAGCCCATATGGGAATCAAACCCGCGTCCCTGTTGCTCAGAGCTCACGCTCTTAAGCTAACTCTTAACCAACTGAGCCACTCAGCCAGCCCATGCAGTATTCTTTATAAAACAGCACTCTCTATAAAGGGAGTTCTTTGTTTACAGAGAGTTATACATAATTTTTTCTTTTGTCTTAAAGAAATAGATATCAAGAAATAAGAACCAAAGGAAATAATGTATAGACTTGCTTTTTTGGTAATTAAAATTTTTTACTTGATTTTAATAAAAATCTATGTATTGAGTGTGTATTATGGATTATTCTTTCTTCCCCAGGTTTTCTATTTGTCCTCTTTCCTTTTTTAGATGGTAACCTGATCCTACTTTAGCCCTAGATAAAAATATTCCTCAAAGCTAGCAAAAGTCACAGTTGTTAATATAATGGCTTCAGAACAAGATTTAACTAGTGTTGACTGAAGCAGTGTTTTAATGCTTCTCATTTCTTGGGACATGCACTCTGTCTAGTTAAATCACAGTTCTCAGGCATTGCTTCATTCTTGGGTGTCAGTAACCTCAAGATGGTCCAGAAATAGCATATGGCACCTTGACATGAAGCAAGACCTGATCAGAATGTGAGGGAAATGGGCCCTGAAAATAAAAGATGATATTTTCCAAGATGAACAACAAGAATAAAGTGAGGTAATGGGTCAAGAAAGAATTAGAAGAGAAATGAAATTGTGATAGGAACTGGACGGGGGTAAGGGCAAGGATGGGGAGGGGATCTGGCAGAGCCAGGGGCAGTGAAACTGTAATATCTCACAATCTACATAGGTACAGAACTCCACTCTCTAAACATTTATGTCCTATTTCCCTATTTTAAAAAGTACTAAGTCTGTGGTACTTAATTTATAATAGTGCTGGGGAACTCATTGGTGTAATTAACAGTTTACACATGGCAGTCCCCACCCCCCTTGACATTATAGTGTTTCTGAAGAATTGTGAGTAAAGTGAATAGTTGTGAAAAGCCACATTTTAAAGAAAAGAGAAATGACTATTTAAAACAGTGCCAGATAAGTGACACTGCAGTTTCATAGGCCTCGGTGGTTATGATTACTGGAAAGCTGTGTTTGAGCCCATCAAGAAAACATCGTAAACTTGGTGTCTTTAGTCCTGAAAGATTGTATAATTTACCACTCCTGTCTCTTCTTCCCTTTCACTCCTCATCTTCTCAAGGCACCTAACACAGTACCTGACAATACTAACACCCAATAAATAATAACAGTAATTGCATTCTGTCAGCCTTACCATTTTGAACTTATTTCATAAATTGAGGTAATTTTAATAACTTGCTTTATGACTGTGGCAGCACATCTTATTTTTACTGACTTGGTAACATTCTTCATGTTTTTCTCCCTAAATAAGGATTGAAGGGCAAAAGGTGAGGGGATTGGGAAAGCAAACCCCATGTTCTGGTGTGCTTGACAATCAGAAGCAGTGCTGGATTGAGGCTGTAGAGGGCTAGATTAGCCAGGTCTGACTCAGCCACTCTTTTTATTTTTAATTAAATTTATCAGGGTGACATGGGTTAGTAAACTTGTATAGGTTTCAAGTGTACAATTCTATTGTGTGTTCACCACCCAAAGTCAATTCTCCTTTTGTCTCCGTATGTTTGACTCCTTTACCCTCTGGTAACCACTAAACTGTTGTCTGTGTCTATAAGTTTTTGTTTGTCTTGTTTGTTTGTTGCTTTCAGTTTTATATCCCACATATGAGAGAAATCATATGGTTTCTCAACTTTTTCTCACTTATTTCGCTTAGCATGATAATCTCAAGATCCGTCTGTGTTGTCACAAATTACAGTCACTCTTTTGAGATCCTCCTGTTATGATGAACCTGCACATTTGGCAGCTCGTGAATTCTCTGATGCATTCTTCCTCCTTGTTTTCTTTCCTAGTGTGTCTGGAAAACCCACCCAGCACTTCAATGGCCAGCAACAACACTGCCAGCATAGCACAAGCCAGGAAGCTGGTAGAACAGCTGAAGATGGAAGCCAACATCGATAGGATAAAGGTAAGGACAACAAAACCCACACAGCTCATCTATCCTTGAATATAAACAGCATGATTTACAGCCATCTATCTTTTACTACTCTTTCCATAGAGTGTGATGAAACCAGTAAAGATGGAAGACAAACTTAATAATTAGGCAAAAGTTTATTTTTCTAATGTCTTTGCCTTGTCTAGATTTCTCCAGCATAAAATGATAGTATAGATTAAAACTGGTTCTCCATGTAGAATTAAAAACAAAACAATAACAGCAAAACATAGCTCATGCCCAGATTCTGGCCATGGAAATTAGAGAACACATAAAACATAGAAGTTCACCAGTCAACCTCCCTGACCTCATAAGAGCCTTCTCATTTGGGTTTTAATTTTTTTCTGTCCAGATTTAGGTTCTAAGTTTAAGTGTCTATGTTCATTTCTAATCCTTCTAATTTACCATTGCAGGTTATTATTTTTCTTCTTTATACCATATTGGGGTTTTTTTTCTTCAAATCACAAAAAGCACACATGGTCTCTCTAAGAAGTCAGACAGCATAGAGGTTTAATGGAAACTAATAGTCTACTTTTTTCTTTCTTTTTCTCATTCCTCAGATCTAACATGATAGCTTTGCCTTAAGTTGGACCTAGGTCATATTGAACCAAGACTTTAAATCCAAACTCTTTGTTGGCAGATTTTAAATGTAACATTGACCTACACAGTGTCATTATTAACAAATAGCTACTGCAGGGTGGGTAAAGTGAATTTTTGTCAACTATCAAATCTTCACTTCCCCAGAAGACCCAAGAATTTTATGAAATGAAACTCAAAAACACCTCATTTTACTAAAATAAAACTAGAACTTTCTTCCAAAAGCCTTTTTTTTTTTTAACTACAATGCTTTTCCTATTTTCTCCATACCTGACTTAGCAACTTGGACAATCCAGCCTCCTTTGGAGTGTGCTTCTACAGGAAGGGTCAATAAATTATGGTTCATGAGCCAGATCTATTCTACTGCCTGTTTTTTTGGGGGGGGTTTAAGATTTTTATTGGGGTATTGGGGGGAAGGGAACAGTGCTGGAGA